GTGGTGGTGGTGGTGGCAGTGACCCTGGAGAGGCCCCCACACGTGCTGCTCCTGGGGAACTTCGCTCTGCACGGGGCCCACTCAGCTCTGCACCAGGTGGGTCCACTAGCTACTCCCTCTCCTATATGACCCCAGGTTGCTTCCCAGGTGCTGCCTCTTGACCACATTCCTCATTTTCCTCTCTCTTTTCTGTCCCTTCTCTGCCCCCCATGTGCTCTCTTCTTCCTCTTCCTTCCCATCTTCTCTCAATACCCTCTGTCTATCTGTCCATCTGCACTCCTTTCTTTGCCTTTCTGGCCAGGCCCTGTGGTGGGGGGTAGAGGGTGCCTTGCCTGCCACAGTTGCCCCAAGGCTCCCTCTGCCTTTCTGCCCTCTATGGTGGCCTCCTCAGGCCTCTGGTACCTGCCTGCCCTGGGCCTGCCTTCCCAGGGCCCTTGGCTTACCCCCACCACCACCTAGCTACTGTCTCTGAGCTCAGTTTGCCCTTGGAAGAGAGGTTTCCACTAGGTGACTTTTGCACCGCCCCCCACCCCCACCCCAGTTCAACCTGTCCTAGATGTACCTGGGCCCCATCACCTTCTCCATGAGAGACTCCAGGTTTGCTCTGGGGGCCATGTGTACACATGTGTGATAATGGAATATGTTTCATGGGGAAGGGGGTGTCCTGTGGTTCCTGACCCCACCTGGCCTGCCCTACCCCTCTCCCTGCCACCAGAGATTGTGCACGAGGACTTGAAGATGGGGTCTGATGGGGAGAGTGACCAGGCTTCAGCCACATCCTCGGATGAGGTGCAGTCTCCAGTGAGAGTACGCATGCGCAACCATCCCCCACGCAAGATCTCCACTGAGGTGTGTAACGCCCTGTCCGGTTGGTGAAGGAGCTAGAAAAGGGGGTTGGACCTGGGGAGGTGGAGCTCATGATCCTGTTTCCCTCTCACCTTACCTGCTAGGACATCAACAAGCGCCTATCGCTACCAGCTGACATCCGGCTACCTGAGGGCTACCTTGAGAAGCTGACCCTCAATAGCCCCATCTTTGACAAGCCACTCAGCCGCCGCC